ACTGACCAAAACACTCTTTAGAGGTTGAAAATCGGGAAAAAAATATTTTTAGTTTAACTCATTCGCCCCCAAGAGATTTCTGGAAAATCAGGCATTTCCGAAAATTTGCAATCATATGCAAATTATATGCAAATTAGCAGACTCTTGATGCTGTAACTGATGCTCATCTATTAAACTATGTATTGAGATTTGGGGGCGGATGGCATGGGTGGGGGGTGGGGTGGGAGGTGGAATATTTTCTCGTGGGTTTGAACCCACCCCCACTGAAAAATGTTAATTTTCCGTCTATTTTCCGATTTTAAAACGACCTTGAGAGGTGAACATTGACCAGACTGTTTTTCTTTGTCATTCAAGTATTACCCTATAGTTACAGCAGTCCATTCATGCTAACTGGGAGTATATTGGACTTAAGTGTCTTGCTGGGGAATTATTATTGTCAAGTCAGGTCTGCCTAAATGTCCGTTTTTACGGATTTTTGACAAAACGGTGACCTAAATTTTACAGACTAGATTCCTATTGGCCATATTATACCTCGTTGTGTTCCTTTACCACCTATGCATGCATTTATGATAATAGTTTATACCTACAGTCACTACGAGTTACGTAGTGGCCATCAAAAGATGCCCACCCCCACCTGATTTTGGCTACTTTTCACGTTTTTCCGATTTTGAACTCTTAAACGGCTTTCAAAGTGCCATATTTTCATGAACAGACATCTGAGAAGAGTTTATGGACCATGAACTGCTTGGTTGAAGTCCCTGCTATCATGACAGTTCAGCTGGGGCAGTTCAAAAAAGGTATGGAGGGTCATACGGGCCATCAAAGAATGGTTGTCGCCATCACGCCTACAGGCGGGATTGGGGGCTAAAGGGTTAAACGATTTGATCAAAATTTTTAAATTTGACTTCTGTTGGGTTTGAGGGTCGTTTTGGGGTGTAAAACTGACCAAAACACTCTTTAGAGGTTGAAAATCGGGAAAAAAATATTTTTAGTTTAACTCATTCGCCCCCAAGAGATTTCTGGAAAATCAGGCATTTCCGAAAATTTGCAATCATATGCAAATTATATGCAAATTAGCAGACTCTTGATGCTGTAACTGATGCTCATCTATTAAACTATGTATTGAGATTTGGGGGCGGATGGCATGGGTGGGGGGTGGGGTGGGAGGTGGAATATTTTCTCGTGGGTTTGAACCCACCCCCACTGAAAAATGTTAATTTTCCGTCTATTTTCCGATTTTAAAACGACCTTGAGAGGTGAACATTGACCAGACTGTTTTTCTTTGTCATTCAAGTATTACCCTATAGTTACAGCAGTCCATTCATGCTAACTGGGAGTATATTGGACTTAAGTGTCTTGCTGGGGAATTATTATTGTCAAGTCAGGTCTGCCTAAATGTCCGTTTTTACGGATTTTTGACAAAACGGTGACCTAAATTTTACAGACTAGATTCCTATTGGCCATATTATACCTCGTTGTGTTCCTTTACCACCTATGCATGCATTTATGATAATAGTTTATACCTACAGTCACTACGAGTTACGTAGTGGCCATCAAAAGATGCCCACCCCCACCTGATTTTGGCTACTTTTCACGTTTTTCCGATTTTGAACTCTTAAACGGCTTTCAAAGTGCCATATTTTCATGAACAGACATCTGAGAAGAGTTTATGGACCATGAACTGCTTGGTTGAAGTCCCTGCTATCATGACAGTTCAGCTGGGGCAGTTCAAAAAAGGTATGGAGGGTCATACGGGCCATCAAAGAATGGTTGTCGCCATCACGCCTACAGGCGGGATTGGGGGCTAAAGGGTTAAACGATTTGATCAAAATTTTTAAATTTGACTTCTGTTGGGTTTGAGGGTCGTTTTGGGGTGTAAAACTGACCAAAACACTCTTTAGAGGTTGAAAATCGGGAAAAAAATATTTTTAGTTTAACTCATTCGCCCCCAAGAGATTTCTGGAAAATCAGGCATTTCCGAAAATTTGCAATCATATGCAAATTATATGCAAATTAGCAGACTCTTGATGCTGTAACTGATGCTCATCTATTAAACTATGTATTGAGATTTGGGGGCGGATGGCATGGGTGGGGGGTGGGGTGGGAGGTGGAATATTTTCTCGTGGGTTTGAACCCACCCCCACTGAAAAATGTTAATTTTCCGTCTATTTTCCGATTTTAAAACGACCTTGAGAGGTGAACATTGACCAGACTGTTTTTCTTTGTCATTCAAGTATTACCCTATAGTTACAGCAGTCCATTCATGCTAACTGGGAGTATATTGGACTTAAGTGTCTTGCTGGGGAATTATTATTGTCAAGTCAGGTCTGCCTAAATGTCCGTTTTTACGGATTTTTGACAAAACGGTGACCTAAATTTTACAGACTAGATTCCTATTGGCCATATTATACCTCGTTGTGTTCCTTTACCACCTATGCATGCATTTATGATAATAGTTTATACCTACAGTCACTACGAGTTACGTAGTGGCCATCAAAAGATGCCCACCCCCACCTGATTTTGGCTACTTTTCACGTTTTTCCGATTTTGAACTCTTAAACGGCTTTCAAAGTGCCATATTTTCATGAACAGACATCTGAGAAGAGTTTATGGACCATGAACTGCTTGGTTGAAGTCCCTGCTATCATGACAGTTCAGCTGGGGCAGTTCAAAAAAGGTATGGAGGGTCATACGGGCCATCAAAGAATGGTTGTCGCCATCACGCCTACAGGCGGGATTGGGGGCTAAAGGGTTAAACGATTTGATCAAAATTTTTAAATTTGACTTCTGTTGGGTTTGAGGGTCGTTTTGGGGTGTAAAACTGACCAAAACACTCTTTAGAGGTTGAAAATCGGGAAAAAAATATTTTTAGTTTAACTCATTCGCCCCCAAGAGATTTCTGGAAAATCAGGCATTTCCGAAAATTTGCAATCATATGCAAATTATATGCAAATTAGCAGACTCTTGATGCTGTAACTGATGCTCATCTATTAAACTATGTATTGAGATTTGGGGGCGGATGGCATGGGTGGGGGGTGGGGTGGGAGGTGGAATATTTTCTCGTGGGTTTGAACCCACCCCCACTGAAAAATGTTAATTTTCCGTCTATTTTCCGATTTTAAAACGACCTTGAGAGGTGAACATTGACCAGACTGTTTTTCTTTGTCATTCAAGTATTACCCTATAGTTACAGCAGTCCATTCATGCTAACTGGGAGTATATTGGACTTAAGTGTCTTGCTGGGGAATTATTATTGTCAAGTCAGGTCTGCCTAAATGTCCGTTTTTACGGATTTTTGACAAAACGGTGACCTAAATTTTACAGACTAGATTCCTATTGGCCATATTATACCTCGTTGTGTTCCTTTACCACCTATGCATGCATTTATGATAATAGTTTATACCTACAGTCACTACGAGTTACGTAGTGGCCATCAAAAGATGCCCACCCCCACCTGATTTTGGCTACTTTTCACGTTTTTCCGATTTTGAACTCTTAAACGGCTTTCAAAGTGCCATATTTTCATGAACAGACATCTGAGAAGAGTTTATGGACCATGAACTGCTTGGTTGAAGTCCCTGCTATCATGACAGTTCAGCTGGGGCAGTTCAAAAAAGGTATGGAGGGTCATACGGGCCATCAAAGAATGGTTGTCGCCATCACGCCTACAGGCGGGATTGGGGGCTAAAGGGTTAAACGATTTGATCAAAATTTTTAAATTTGACTTCTGTTGGGTTTGAGGGTCGTTTTGGGGTGTAAAACTGACCAAAACACTCTTTAGAGGTTGAAAATCGGGAAAAAAATATTTTTAGTTTAACTCATTCGCCCCCAAGAGATTTCTGGAAAATCAGGCATTTCCGAAAATTTGCAATCATATGCAAATTATATGCAAATTAGCAGACTCTTGATGCTGTAACTGATGCTCATCTATTAAACTATGTATTGAGATTTGGGGGCGGATGGCATGGGTGGGGGGTGGGGTGGGAGGTGGAATATTTTCTCGTGGGTTTGAACCCACCCCCACTGAAAAATGTTAATTTTCCGTCTATTTTCCGATTTTAAAACGACCTTGAGAGGTGAACATTGACCAGACTGTTTTTCTTTGTCATTCAAGTATTACCCTATAGTTACAGCAGTCCATTCATGCTAACTGGGAGTATATTGGACTTAAGTGTCTTGCTGGGGAATTATTATTGTCAAGTCAGGTCTGCCTAAATGTCCGTTTTTACGGATTTTTGACAAAACGGTGACCTAAATTTTACAGACTAGATTCCTATTGGCCATATTATACCTCGTTGTGTTCCTTTACCACCTATGCATGCATTTATGATAATAGTTTATACCTACAGTCACTACGAGTTACGTAGTGGCCATCAAAAGATGCCCACCCCCACCTGATTTTGGCTACTTTTCACGTTTTTCCGATTTTGAACTCTTAAACGGCTTTCAAAGTGCCATATTTTCATGAACAGACATCTGAGAAGAGTTTATGGACCATGAACTGCTTGGTTGAAGTCCCTGCTATCATGACAGTTCAGCTGGGGCAGTTCAAAAAAGGTATGGAGGGTCATACGGGCCATCAAAGAATGGTTGTCGCCATCACGCCTACAGGCGGGATTGGGGGCTAAAGGGTTAATAGCATGATAACAACATCAACACTCATAGATTTTCATTATTACATGCGACAAGTTTTAATTAATTATACACAACAACGCAGGTCCAGACCCAGTATTGGTCATAATATACAGTCAAATCTGCCTTAACAGTCACCTCGTTTCAGCCGTCACCTGCCTCTAAAGGTCACTTTCAGACCCTCCCAAATGTTTTCTCTATCTAATTTGGTCAGCGGTCACCTGATTTTGTTGATGGTTGTAGTAAGTCTATAAAGTTATTCATGAAACCCAGCAGGTCATGAGAGTAATTATACCCAAATCCAAACCTATTCCTTGTTTAAAAATCATGTTTCTCAATAAATAAATTGTTAGAATTTTATATTGTAGAGTTGTTTAGATGTATACAGAAATAGCCAGCAGAGATTAGGAGAATTAGATAATATATTATTGGTAGCTTTAGAGTTTGATATACACCAGGTTATAAAGGAAAGCAGGTAATTTCTTTAAAGAATACATACAGTAATAACAGTAGTAAACTAATATTTTCTTCATTGACGTAGACTTTTTTCCATTGTTAAAAAGATCATACCATTAAATGAAAGTCCTAAGAAAGGATACTTTAAACAAACTTATTTTTATGAATACAGTCAAACCTGCGTTATCGGTCACTTGCCTCTAATGGTCACTTTCAGACCCTCCCAAACGTTTTCTCTATATAATTTAACTCAATTCAGGGTTCACCTAATTTTCGCACGAAATGGTCATTTCAATATTTTGAAATTTAAAAAATTGGAAAAAATCATGTACATACATAATCTAGATTTTGTATGTATATGATTTTTTCCAATTTTTTTTATCAATATGCAGCAAAGATTGGCATTTTTTAAATTTCTATTTCACAAGCTTCTTATGCAATTATCTTGATAAATATTGAACATAAAACATCGTGTATTTGCATGTATATTTCTAATAACTCAGTTTAACAAATAATTTATTTAAAATGTATGACTATTATTTAGAAATAACTTTTGATCAGTATCATCACCAGCATTGTTTTATTATTGACTTTCTTGACTCTATCATAAGAAGAGTGAATTTTCTTTTGTTTTCGTTCACTAGATTTCCCACTGTTCAAGGCGATTTATTTTCAGGATTTCTAATTTTCTTGAATTATTTATAAAGGGAAGTTCCAAGTTTTATATTTTGCATTATTTTCCCTCTCACGAAAGTCTAGAAAATTTTATAGTATTTTGTATGTTAAGTAACTGCTGGTTTTTGGTACATATTACAATCACTGTAAGATTTGGATTTTTGTTTCAGTTCTATGTTCAGTAATTGGTGGTTTGTGGCCCATCTTACAGACTTGTTACAACATTGTGGCCAGTTAGAAGCTCATAAACTACAGTGAGTATAAATGGATTAAGGATGTTTATAAAGTTCAAAATGTTGTAATTGTTTTCATATTTTTTTGTTATGCAAAATTGATAAATTAATGGTTGTTTTGTTTGATTTCCAAATATGAAGCAAAACGTGTATGGATTTTACATAAAAATACATTATGGGGTCATCTTTTATTATCAAACATTTTCCCAAGCATGCAAAACACAGTTTTTCCAACCTTACTAATTCCATAAAAAATGTCCATCGACCATATCCAATAGAATGAAATTACTAAATACAAACAAAAAAATTCAGAAATCAGAAAGTGTACTACAAAATTGTTGATGATTTTTTATGATTTTACCCCCTCCCACTAATCTGCACTTTTCACGCTTTTGAAAATGGTTGGAAATTATAGATGACCGACCCTTTAGCTTTTACATACTCAATTTCTGTATATAATCATTTCTGAGCAAATTATAGGAATAAAAAAAAAGATAACTGGCATCATATTCAAATATTTTATGGTATAAATACATGTATGATGAAAGGTATTATTTTATTTTTTACAATGCAAAACTTGAATGTTATTACCTGTGACAGTGTTCTCCAGTATGATCAAATTATTTTACGTTTCAGATATGGTTCAAATTTAAGAGAATTTTTATTATTAGATTATGCAAGTAGTCTTATGTCTAATAAAAGGTAAGTCACAGTATTTATTTCCCTTTCTCTAAAGTCTATTATTTAATTTATTGAAAAGCATTTCCTTATTAAGAATAGGAAGTTTTCTACTTTATATCTCTGACAATATGAATTATTTCTATGGTTAAAAGTAACAGTGTGTGATATCAGTCTTTGGTCTAATTTTCTTATGAAATGTGCACGGTTTTTAAGTTCATTTTAAAAGGAGTTCCTAAAAACCGTATCCTTTTGTTTCAAAATAAGAACTTCGACCATTACATTAGCCTTATTTGAAAAAAATAATTCAAATAATTACCACAAACTGAATTACTATTATTTTTTCTTCAGTTTATGGGTTGTTGGTGTTAGTTATTTAGACCACTGTCCTGAATTTGGAAGGTAAGAAGGACACTTTTTTAAAGTAATATCTACCCCAGGTTATTGTATTTTAATAATAAAAAAAATGAAACATGGTTAAATGGGGTAAACATCAGAGAGACAACAATCTAAAACACTTGTTCATCAAATCACAAAAAAAATAGTCTGCAAGGATGGATAAGCACCTACAAGATAATGCATACCCTTAATTACACTGAGTCTTTATATTTGTAGATGAATTTAACTGAGACAACATACAATCTGACAATAACAGCATATACCAATACAAAAAATGTAAAAATCAATAGTCACTCAGTCTGATTATATTTCAGAAGTAATAGGGTCACATAATCATGGATGGGTTAAACTAGTTTTCTGAGTAATTAGTAACAAGTCTGATACTCAACCCTGCCCTTGTAGTACATTTTAAAATATACAACAAGAATTTAACCAGAAAAATCATATAATCCAATTACATTTTTATATCAATGTCACAGAAGACCAAAACACAAATAAATTCTTAAAGTTGTGACTGTTGCACACGTACATTTCTTAAAATCATTTTTGACTCGCCTACGAAAGTTTCGGAAAGCGAGACATAGGGATTGCTTTTCCGGCGATGATGACAACGACGGTGCCCGCTCTGGATCCGGCGTCAACAATTGTTAAGTTTTCTGCTTAAGTTAGTTTGATAGGAACTACTTGTGATAGATCATTAATATTTACTATGAAGTTGCATTACTATCAGTATATATCAGTTTGACGACTATTTTGAGGCCCTGACCCCTAGGACATAGTCCAGTGACTAATTAATTATCAATTTTCAATGTTAAGTTTTCTGCCTAAGTTAGTTTGATAGGATCTACTGGTCATAGATCAATGATATTTTGTATGAAGTTGCATTACTATCAGTACATATCAGTTTGACGACTATTTTGAGGCCATGACCCCTAAGTCATGGTCCAGTGACTGAATTAATTACCAATTTTCAGTGTTAGGTTTTCTGCTAAAGTTAGTTTGATAGGATCTACTTGTGATAGATCAATGATATTTTGTATGAAGTTGCATTACTATCAGTTCATAACAGTTTGACAGCTATTTTGAGGCCCTGACCCCTAGGACATGGTCCAGTGACTTTGAATTAATTAGCAATTTTCAATGTTCCGTTTTTCTGCTTAAGTCAGCTTGATAAGAACTACTTGTGATAGATCAATGATATTTTGTATAAAGTTGCATTACTATCAGTTCACATCAGTTTGATGACTATTTTGAGGCCCTGCCCCCTAGGACATGGTCCAGTGACTTTGAATTAATTTCCAATTTTTAATGTTAAGTTTTTCTGCTTTAATAAGTTATATTGATAGGAACTACTTCCTGTACAATAAATAACAATATTTTTGTCGAGCCTGCGACTTTTGTCGCAGAAAGCTCGACATAGGGATAGCGATCCGGCGGCGGCGGCGGCGGCTACGGCGGCGGCGGCGGCGTTAGCTAACTTCTTAAAAGCTTTATATTTTAGAAGATGGAAGACCTGGATGCTTCATACTTTGTATATGGATGCCTCATGTTACGAAGTTTCCGTCAGTCACATGTCCAATGTCCTTGACCTCATTTTCATGGTTCAGTGACTACTTGAAAAAAAAGTTCAGATTTTTTGTAATGTTAAATTCTCTCTTATTATAAGTAATAGGATAACTATATTTGGTATGTGCGTACCTTGCAAGGTCCTCATGCCCGTCAGACAGTTTTCACTTGACCTCGACCTCATTTCATGGATCAGTGAACAAGGTTAAGTTTTCGTGGTCAAGTCCATATCTCAGATACTATAAGCAATAGGTCTAGTATATTCGGTGTATGGAAGGACTGTAAGGTGTACATGTCCAACTGGCAGGTGTCATCTGACCTTGACCTCATTTTCATGGTTCAGTGGTTATAGTTAAGTTTTTGTGTTTTGGTCTGTTTTTCTTATACTGTATACAATAGGTCTACTATATTTGGTGTATGGAATGATTGTAAGGTGTACATGTCTAGCTGGCAGGTGTCATCTGACCTTGACCTCATTTTCATGGTTCAGTGGTCAAAGTTAAGTTTTTGAGTTTTGGTCTTTCTTTCTAATACTGCATGCAATAGGTCAGCTATATTTGGTGTATGGAATGATTGTAAGGTGTACATGTCTAGCTGGCAGGTGTCATCTTACCTTGACCTCATTTTCATGGTTCAGTGGTCAAAGTTAAGTTTTTGAGTTTTGGTCTTTTTTTCTAATACTATATGCAATAGTTCAACTATATTTGGTGTATGGAAATATTTTATGATCTATATGTCAGTCACGCAGGTTTTATTTGACCTTGACCTCATTTTCAAGGTTCATTGCTCAGTGTTAAGTTTTTGTGTTTTGGTCTGTTTTTCTTAAACTATAAGCAATAGGTCAACTATATTTGTTGTATGGAAGAATTGTAAGCTGTACATGCCTGCCTAGCATGGTTCATCTGACCTTGACCTCATTTTCATGGTTCATTGGTCAATGTTTAGTTTACTTGGTTAATGTTAAGTTTATGTGACAGTTGTAATAAAGCTTTATATTTAGGACTATCAACATAATATCAATGATTAGTAAAGAAGGCGAGACATTTCAGCGTGTGCACTCTTGTTCTATAAAGTTACATTACTGTTTGTACATCTCAGTTTGTCGACCATTTTCAGGCCCTGCCCACTAGATCATAGTCCAGTGACTGAATTAATAAGCAATGTTGCTGTCCATCAAATAGTCTTTTTCTGAATTATATGCCGATAAGCGAGACATATCTCTGTGTCATTTTTAAGTGTTGTTATTTTACTCACAAAAGCAATATTATAGAATATTTTATTTCCTTTATTGTTATTGAAAGGATTAGTTATTTAAGAAATAATTCATGAAAGCCAAAGATTTGTTGGAAATTTACACATGGCCCAGGCCATGTGTAAATTTACAACAAATCTATGGCTTCCATGAATTATTTCGATTCTAATAGGACAAATACGGTCATTAAAAAACTGAAGCGAGGGTGGGTATGCTGTGTGTGTGGCTGTTCTTTTTTACTCCCTGTTAGATAAAGGTAAAACATTCTAATAAATCTGTAGCTTGCATGAATTATTTCGTAAACAATCGCTATAAAAAAAATGAGCTTAATTCTTTTAATTCTCAAACCCAACATTTGCCATTTTTAATTTGCATGTTTTTCTCATAAGCTACCGTCAAATCCAAAGTTGACATTTCGTAACTAAGGAGCCGCCATGTTGACTTGCTGAAGTCAGTAAATATGCGAATAATGCAATAAAATAGAAAAAAAAACAACACCTACCTCAAAAATCCATTTTAATGTAATATTATACGAATTTCGATGGTTCACGTAACGGAAAAACCTTCAGCTTTAGCGTTTTCATTTGTATGATGTCATGTTTTGAAATGACTTGAATGCGCCAAAAGCATTACTGGACTTTCACGGAATTTTATTTTATTTTGATTTTGTAGATTTCTCCGAGCTCTTGTGCATTAATTCTTTTTGTTATGCATCCGAATAAGTATAAAAGTTCTGTAGTCTTTTTTCAATTGCAATTTTTAAAACAATAAAATCGGCATATGGTTTGTAAATTGGTTCCAATACATGTGGATTTACGAGGGAGGTATATTGTAACATCCATTATTATGTATATCTCTGAGTCTGCGCTAAGTATAGATATATCGAGAATTTTATCACGGTGTTGTTTACAAAGCGAAAGAAGCACGTCATATTAGAATTGATAGTATATTTACTTACCTACTAATGATACCAATGTTCTCTGGTCTGTAAACATCAAAGAATCTTATTATTTTATTAATTCCTTATTTTCTATTGATCTAGAATGTTAATTGGTTTATTTGTAGACATTACTTGGAAAATTTTATAGAAAATATGCCAATAGAAACAGAAAGAAAAGCACAGAAACTATTAAATATTTGTAAGGAAAGAAATATGACAGAACAAGGTAAATTGTAGGTGATTAGAATTATAGGAATGTATGTCTGAACTGAACTATTGATTGGTTTAGTCCTGAAAAATAGATTACTTAGTGGTATGTTTATCTTAAAGATGTTCAAAAGAGGTATATTGAAAAATAAACATTGGCAACAAATTAATGCAACAATGAAAAAAAAATCAATTAGATTTTACATACATAATTTGTCTGACACTAGCCAGACTTTCTAGATCCTCTTTTTTGAAAAAGTAGCTCCCTGTTATTTGAGAATATGACTCTCTGATAAATATTGTTTAAAGCTCTTCTACATAGCAAACTTTATATAATCAACAAACTGTTTAAGACATTATAACTCCTCTAGCTAAAGACTATATTGATGAACTTATCCAATATGTCGTTGATTTCAGAGTCAGACTGTAAATTATTCATTCCTCCTGCTTCTCATCTTACTTTTCAGAATCAGTTGTTTGATATACATTGTGTTCACTTTTCTTTTCTTGTATACATATATGCTTGAAATATTTGAAATTAGCAACAATCAATGTTTTTAACTATAAATAAACATGCACTTTAATGTCCAAGTTATCATTCTTTCTGACTATTTATGAAATTTGTAAAAAGTCTTTTAAATTTAAAGAAGAGGGTTTTTTTCGTCTGGCAGGTGAATCCGAAAAAAGTGAAATAAAGTTAATTTCAGTTCAAATTCATCTATCATTTAAATAAATTTATAGATATAGAAGTGAATATGATAACACAATATTTCTATGTATATTTACAGCAAGAAGTATATGTAAAGTTGTTGGAATGAGACACCTCAATAATAAAAGATTGGGAGCAGCATTAACATGGTTCTTAAGGTCAAAGGTGGGTCAATGTATAAATACTTATACATCCACATGAATTGACACTATGAGTTGATCATTGTTTTTATGCATTCCAACTCATGATTTCTGCAAGAGTTGTCATTAATCGATTTTGTAAACTTCAAGCAAAATGATTTGGAATAATCAAACCCCCACTCTAAATATAGTGACTACTGCAATCACCTTGTTCAACCGCTTGTCCGTCCATTCATCCAACAAATATTTTCGTCACACTTTTCTAAAAAACTATTTAACAGAATGACTTCATACTTGGTTAGCTACTTGACAGTAATGAGTCATTCCTTGTGGGCAATTTTTTAATCTGTCGGATACCTACTTCCTATTTCCTGATATTTTGACTTTTTCAATATGTTGATAGAATTTCATTTTTTTAGCCACATTTTTCTCAGAAACTACTAAACAGAATAACTTAATATTTTGTCAGCATGGATCTGTCAGATATCTACTTCCTGTATGTCTATACTTTGAATTTTTCAATATGTTGAATGAACTTAAAATTTATTGTCACACTTTTCTCCAAAAATACTGAACAAATTGACTTCGTATTTGGTTGGCAGCTCAATAATGATGAGTTGTAATGTGTTTGAGTTTTTTGGATAATTTAGACACTAGCTTCCTGTTTTTTGGATACTTTGAATTACGAGTGGGGGTATGTTATGTACGACAATGTGTGTGTTCTGTTTGATTCAAGATTCAGTACAGTGCTTTAATCTCAATCTCACCTTTAAGGAACCAAAAAGGCCACTTATACCTTATCTTCTGTATATATATGAAATAGGCTTGTAAAATTTTAACATAAACTCATATATAAAAACTAATTCAATTAAATGTACAAATCTCGATTAAAGATTTATATATACATATAACTAATTACTGTTTTTGTCCTTTCAGGATGTTGCCTTTGCTACAGTTATTGCAGAAAAGTAAGTCTTACCTTCAAATTCTCAATGTATGCAAATAGGTCCTTTATTGAAACCAGCAAAGAAATGATTTATAACATTAAGTTATGTCAACATTAAGAATATCTTAAGTGGCATGATAGATTGTAGGGGTCCTGTAGAATATTTTGTTGTGCTAATAATTCTGCTGTAGCAAAAAACAAACCTGATCAACATAATATTATGTGAAAGATAATGTGACATAGCATAAATGAAAATAACTCTGAAGAACGTTTAATATCTTATATGATAATGTTATGATACCCTTCTCTAAAAGTGGGGCTATATTGCATTCTCTTGTCTGTTCAACAATTATTTCTCAGGCACCATTGAATAGAATAGATTCATATTCAGTCAGCAACTGGATAGTGATGAGTTGTAACCTGTGAGCACTTTTCATGTCTTCTTTTCAAATTCTTGTTTTCTACTTTCATCATGGGTCGAAGGTGGCATCAAGCAGGTGTGGATCCATGATTTTGAAAGGGGGCACTGGAAAGCCAACATTTGGAGAGATACTTGTAAAAAGTCTATGGATTTATCATATATGAAGCTCCATAAGGGGCCTCTGTCAAGTGTTTACCTTGTCTGTCCATGCTTTATTCTTATTATTTTTGTTGTTTTTTTTAAATCTAATGTTAGCCCTTACCATTTGCTTTTGAACTTTCCATTGCTATAAGGGATAATAGACAAAGGTCAGATGCTAAATTAAAATATTTTCCATTATTAATTTTGTGATTCTTCTTCTAGTTTATGCATAAATAGGCCTAATCGAAACTTTCTGGTAAATAAATGGACATTGCTTTTAGTCAAATCATATTAAATTTTAACCGGGAACATATTTGTTATTTTATTTTATTAATTCAGTAATGTTTGAAGCTATATATAGTTTTTCAACCTACTAATGATGTGTGAAAAAGGCTAACAGGAGTCTCAAAAATACCCAACAGTACAACAGGCCGCATCAACCACAAATTCAAAGATCACAAGTCCAAACCAAAATTAGGCTGTGGAATTTCGATGTATCAACTGTATTCATATTAGAAGTTACTTATTTGAACTAATATTGACATGTCATTTTTTTTCAGATTTTTGTTGGAATACAGTGAAAGTGGTTCATTTACTAACTTAGATCTGATTGATAATTTAGGACCATCAATGTTGCTGAGCAACAGACTAACATTTTTAGGTAAGTATTTTTTAAAAATTTTATCCAATAATAATTGTCTGTTAGCTTCTATGGCTTTTACTTGTAATATAGTCTGTGTGCACCAAAACAATCTAATGGAAGGTAAAAAAAAATAATTTTAAACTGCTTTGTAATTTATATATTTTAATTCATGTTTTTATCTGAATAACTTTGAGGTTTCTCAACACAAAATAAAGAATTTGCAATATTCAGAAATGGTGAAGGTGTTAATTTGTGAGTAATGCAAAGTGGCAATCTATTTTTAAGTTGGGGTATCCATGTCTAATGGACACCGTGTCTTTATCTTTACCCAGTAGATAACTCGTGATTGCAAATTAGATTGAATACTTCGATAGACATATACATTTTAATTAAAGAGCACCTGACAAAATATCTGTGTACCTTTTAGCAGTTTAGTTAACTTTGAAAAATAGATAACAAAATAAGTAGTGATTTATTTTGATAAAACAAAAAGGCACTGCAGGCTTTATAATTTCCAATTATCAAGATTATGTATATATATTTGTATGTTTTAGGTAAATACAGAGAATTCCACAAGTTATATGAAGATGGGGATTTTTTTGCTGCTGGATCATTATTACTTTCACTTCTAGATTCCAGACTAGCTCCAAAAGAGTAAGTAACTTGGACCAAAGCTCATGGTGTAATATGTTTATTTCTTAGTATACACTAGTCTTAATTATTTTTATGTCACCAGTTATTTAAACATCAACATTATCTTCATCACACTTATTTCTCACAAAATCCTAAACTAAGAAATGTCATGTTTGTTTTTTATGATAATAAAAAAAAATCAGGCTTCTCAAAAACAGAACATGCATTTTATCTGCATGCGGTATAGATTGCAGTTGACATGTATTTTATGGAAAACTCACCTCAAATCTTAGATCCTAATATGGAACTTACTCAGTTTCAGTAGTTCATTGCTATGTTATTTTATAGTAACTGAATCGAAGGTCTAAATCTAAGCACCTGTAAACCATTAAGAAATATTCAAGTAGTAGGCTTTTCTTAGATATTGGTGAATATTCATTTAAAAATGGATCAATTGACCTACATTTTATGCAACTTGGTCTGCAGTACAAGTCATAGAGGAATGATTTTAAATATTAAAGTGAAAATTTTGTTTTTTCAGTTTTAAATATTCACTTTATATGAAGCCATTGCTTGGTTTTCATTCAACACAGAAGAAACTCTGAAATCAAACCTGCCTAAAAGATCACCTATATTAAAGAACAACCTGTGTTATAAAACCATTAATTTTAGGTCCCTCTGTAGTGAATTTCATATAGATTGAATCTGTATTTAAAGACCACCTGTCTTATGAGACAACTTTTTTGCTCTCGGTGTCTCTTAAAGCAGGTTTCACTGTATATCATGTTTAAGAAAAGTTGACAGTGTATTTTAAAATATTTTTATTATTTTCAGATTTTGGTTAACTCTGTTAAAAGATGCAATTCCTTTGCTTGAGGCAAGAGAAGTGAGTTTATCTATTACTAATACAAGTTCTTTAAATATTTATAAATCTATATTTATATTTATATATAGACAGATTTAGATTAATAAAAAAACAGAAAAAACTTTAAAATTGTCTTCATACCAAGTTATTTTAATTTTTGATTTTTACTTGCCATTTTGGAGAGCAATCTTGAGCTAACCTTTCATGTGGAATTCATTTGGCTTTTAGGTTACATTTCAAATGTTCATCCTTTTCTCTGAAACCTTAAACCAAATTGAACTAAGTTTTGCAAGAATTTTCTCTACAACTGCTTTACCTAATTGAACTTAACTTTGAAGAAATAAGGTTTGTTCTTTATAAAATATTTTTTTTTTCAAATAGGGCATTAAACAAAGCCATTCAATCACCTGCCTTTTGTTCTATGTTGCTGCAAAGCAAGCATTTCATAAATCATAGCAGATTAAGATTTATCTTTCATGGGAGATGAGTATAATTATGTCTACAAACAGCTGATTATTCAATCTGAGCTCATTTTAATTAATATGTTTAATTCTAATTCAAAACAATATGTGATCCAGTTCACATGTACAAGCTGTCATATTGAATTTCTGAAACCCAGCATGTTCATTTATAATAATTTGCCTGACACGTTATTGCCATTACTTATTTAAATTGATATTTAGGGGTTCTGATACACATTTTCTTTGCCATAATATATTTCAGTTGATATTTAGCAGTTCTGATACACATTTTCATAGCCATTATATATTTTAGATGATATTTAGTAGTTCTGATACCTATCAGTTGATGCACTGTTTAGAAGAACTAACAAAGGAGTTTGATGTGATGAAACAGAAAGATGGAAAAAGAAGGGTAATTTTTAAGAAATATGTTAAAGAGTTAAAAGATAAATAAAAGAGCCAGAATAACGAGAAAAGAAATCTCACATCATGGTGGCCCTATTCAGACTCTTACAACCAAAGATGTTGAAGTAATTGTTGGGAGCTTTCGAGTATTTTTTTTTACCTCACCGACCCGAAGGGCCATCTGAGCTATTGCCATCACTTTGCTTCTATCTTCTGTCCATAAACTTTTCTTTCAAAATCTTCTACTCTTAAACCCCTTTATGAATTGAAAAGTATGTTTGTCTGCTTCATCTATAGGATGTTTACTATGAAGTTTGTGATGTTTGTCCAGGTTCATCAACCAACATGGCCACTGTGGCTAAACATAGAACCAAAATAAAAACACTTTACAGGTTTTGGCTAATTTCTCGAAAACTACAGCAATTAGAGAAAATCTAAAAATTGTCAGCACAACAAGCTCTATCTAATCTAAAAATTTCAGAAAAACGTGACAACCTGTTTTAGAGTTGTTGCCCCTGAATCGTTGATTTTTTGGCTACTGTTTTGTGTGCTTAGCTGCTTTCTAAATGCTATAGAAACTGGGTTAAAAGTGTTAATTACAAAAATGATCAGTGACACAAAAAATAACTAGTATGTGCAAATAAAATTTCTACGTTTGCTAAGGATTGAAGGAGTAATTTGAAAAATCCAGAATTTTTTAATATTAAGGATTTAGAAAAGCTTATGGCAGTTGATTTTTTTATGCCCCCGATGTAGGCAACGGGGGCATTAAGTGTTACCCTTGACTGTTCTTCCATTCGTCCATCAGTCCCATTTTTGTTTCCCCACTTGAACTTCAGTTTTCCTCATCTAAATTTTATGAAACTCTTACACAATGTTAAGAACCAAAATTAGCAGACAAAAGTTTGAATTTGGGCAGTGAGTCATTTAACGCTCTAGAGTTATGCCTCTTTTTAACTTAGAAAATTGCAAATTTTTTAGTTTCCGCACTCTAACTTAAGTTTGTTCCATCCAAATTTATGAAACTCATACACAATGCTAAGAACCGCAACATGCAGACAGAGTTAGAATTTGGGCAGTGAGTCACTTACCTTTTAAGAAATATACCCCTTTTTAACTTGAAAAATTGCAAAACTTGAACGGGGGCAATCGTATCCTCAAACACATTCTTTTTTTATTTAGAAAATATTGGGTGAAGCACTAAATTCTATTGAGTATGGTGGGGACATTTATAAGTAAATTAAATGGCAAAAAAATATGCCAGTTTGAGGTATCTGAGAGAACCAAGAAAAGAGACCGATAATTTTGGCTTCCATTAGTATTTGATAAGGTTGGAAATAGCCTTACAGATGGTCACCTATTAACCCTCTGAAGATGCATTAAAAATCTTCATCATGATTTATTTTACTTATGGCACATAAAGTATTTTTCATAAAGTTTCACAGATTCTTGAATTAGAAACATACCATCATGTCCATTAATTTTGTGTTTTTGTTTCAACAAACTATCTTATATGTTTGAATACCCATTTTCAGGAATTGAAAATAAAAATAAGGGATACACTGAAAAATTTACAATGCACAGAAATATCTGAATTGTTTATGCTGTGTTTGTTTTTATTAAATATATTTACGATTTTTAATTTCAGGCATTTTCCGAACATGAGAAGGAAAAGCTTGATTTATTGAAATTAGGACTCACAAGAAACTTATCTAGAGCTATTGTTACAGAGGGTAGCATTAAATTGAGCTGAGATAACATAAGTTCCCAGGAATAGATTTAAACTTAAAAACAATAAAGTGGAGAAATTTTTTGTTACGGAAGGAGAATGAGAAATAACGTGGATCAAATTCAGAATCAGTTTAAAGTATTCATTAGTGCTATGTCTTATCAAAAAGACACAAGAGGTTTGAATGTGGATGAACAAGAGAACTAATAATGTGATGTGAAAGATTACAATGTATATTGAAATAAAACTTGTAAAAGTGTGACTGCCTTTTTATTATAACCTTGAATATAGGTATAATCAATATTTTATCATTCTGCATCACTTGATGGCTTATGAAATGAGTTTATCTTTAGGTCCCTGCCCCAAAGGTCCAGTGTGAGCTTTTGTTTTGTCCGTTAACTTTTACAAACATCATCTCCTCTGAAACTACTGTGCCAAATTTGGCCACAATCATCAAAGGGGTGTCTAGTTTAAAATGTGGGTACGATGACCCTGCTTGCTGGCAAACATGGCTGACATGACTGAAAATGGAACATAGAGGAAAAAATGCAATTTTTGTCTTTTATCTTGAAAACTGCTTTAGATAGAGAAAATCTGACAACCTCAAAAATGTTTGAAATGATGAGATCTTCCTAATGATGATTAACATCAAAACTGTCAGACGACTTTGTGTAGGAGTTATTGCCCTTAAACGGCTTATTTTACAAATTGCTTTCATTTTTGCCTAAAATCTCGAAGATTATAATAGATAAACAGGGTCTTTACAAGCAAAATTGATTAGCAACACAAGATCTACAAATAAGTCAAACATGAACAAAATCGTAAGTCTAATCCTTATTGAAGTTATATCCTCTAATGACATTTTTTTTTCTAATTTTTGCATTTTTTGCCTATTATCTTTAAAAATATAATAGAGATAGAAACCTTAAATATCAAAAAGGATCAGCAAGACAAGATCTACAAATAAGCCATTATTGTCGACCCGTTACTAGAGTTATTGCCCTTCAATGATAAATTTTACCTTTTTTAATTGTGTTTTTTTGTCTATAATCTTGAAAATTATAATAGATAGATAGAAATTTTGAAAAAAAAGGAAGGATAAGATCTACATACATAGATATAAGAAGATGTGGTATGAGTGCCAATGTCATCATGACTGAAATTATCAGTTAACTCTTAAGATAGTTATGCTATATGATGGTTTTTACTAAAAACTTGCCATTGTTGAAGATGCAAGTGAGCGACACAGGCTCTTTAAAGCCTCTAGTATCTTGTTTTCTATAGGTACTGCGCTCTGACATCCCTCAGCCCCATTAAGGTGGTACCTAACACTACAGGGAGATAACTCTGTAAAAATCAACTAAACGTTTTAATTACGTTGTATTGTTAAGGAAATATTAAGCTTCTCAATGATCAAAATTAGTGTTTGTCAAACTGCTATATAACCAACGAAATTTTTCTGATAAAGTGGTTGGTTCAAATTTTTTGAAATTTTTATATTTTTGTCAAAGGGTCAAAGTAAACATTTTGTCAAAATTTTATGAAAATTAAACGAGCCAAATTAATATTAGTCAAGGTGTTGGGTACCACCTTAAGTCCTGAAAAAGACTGTCCTACATGAGAGCAATCTTGGACTAAGCAAAGCCCTGGTTGAAAGATCTTTTTCCTAGAGATCTCCTACTTTGGATGTTACATATGTTATCTGAGCAGGTGCACTTGTTCATATTCAAATTGTTAAAAACATTTTGAATTATTCATAGTTAGTCCTGTTGCCCAGTAAATATGAATCATAGGTCTATGATTTAAAGAGTGTTGATTTATTGCAAAAGGTATATTACAGCTGACATATGGGCTCATCCTCATGTGATCAGGTCAACTTCAGCTGAAGAGTTCAAGATAAGGTCTGTTTCCCATTACTATGCATAACAAGTGAATAATATTTGGTATGTGAATTTTCTCAAAGTAATTCATTTCACTGACACTGACAGAGATGCACTCAAAAATTATCCATTAAACTAGTATAATTAGAATATCTCTTTTTTTAAATGGTCAGTTTAATTTTAAACTTTACACTAAGGAAGGTTATGAATTATGTCTGATAACACCATTTACCAGTCAATATGGCCCACTTATATTATTATATGTACAATTTAGGGTTAACAATGGTGACAAATTTGACAGGAATGTGTAGAACCTCAAAATAATCCATTACCAATTACCTTTTTCTTTTCCTTTCTCTAACTTTAGTTTGCCTCATCCATATTTTATGAAACTTATACACAATGCTTATTACCACAAAACACAGATCAAGTTCAAATTTGGGTGGCGTCACTTTTACTATTCTAGAGTTATGCCCTTTATAACATTATATGCAAGCAGGGGCATCATCTGTGTCCCATAGACACATTCTTCATTTATTTTCTCCTGTTAAACTATTGGAAGCCCCAAAACTATTTTACCTTAATGTTCGTGAATCTTGTAGGACTGATTAATTCAACAGTCATATACTGTTGTTAATTTAAGAATCGTATAACCAAGTGTAAAATAGAAAAATATCAGTGGAAACTGTCTGAATTGCATGAATCCTAATCAGTGAGATCAGGTGCATAAACAGGTTAGACATAGTCTGTGGGAACTTTCAAAACCTGTTATAAAGTCGAATTGTATATGTAGTAGACAGTTTAGATCTATGACAGAGTATACATGTCACTTGTAAGTTGAGAAACAGATCTTGTCCCATTCAGCCAATGGTGACCTACAACTTGTGAGGTGATAATATGTACCGTTATTATTACATGACTTTAAATTTTCTGTTTACTCATTGGCTAAAAGCATAGGAAATCCTCTTTGATAAAACATTATATTCACCACTGCTAAAATCACGAGAGGTTAATATAAGATTTGTACATAAATATAGATATTCCAAGGCAACGTCAATGACAAAGGTTTGTGACATCATGTAAATTCCCGTTTTTTTTCTTCTTGTTTTCGGTGTATTTTTTTTAGTAAACTTTATTGAATATTTCAACTTAATAAAAATAGCAACTGCAAAAGCAAATGATATATTTAGTATAAAAACGGAGCATTTTTAAAAGTATCTTTAGCAAATACTAGAAAATTGGAGAAGGATAAAAAGTCATATAATAAGATAATTGTTGACTTTTGATTTCAGTTGATACAATGATATATCAACCTTGTTAGCCTCGGTGAATATCATATCTCTGGGGCTGATAGATCATTGAATCAACCTCATCAAAAGTCAATAATTGTATAACTTTACTCTTAACTTTGCTGGAGTAGATTATCAGTGTACCTACATTAGTTACCAGTAAATCATCATAATAAGAACATTCTCGGGTATAGTTTATCAATTGAGATGCCTAAGTACCATTTGAGGTGTTGGAGCAAATCCTAAGTAAGAATATGAAGTTGACAGTGGGAAACTGAAATTTGTGAATTTGTCATTGATCATAGTTTGAGTTGTCCATGAATTTCAATTTCTAGAAAAAACAAAATACCTTTATGTATCTGTGATATCCTTAATCTCATGTTAAATGTGATATATGAAATGTACTCACTAAGATATGGATTATTGAGTAAAAGGAAATCAATATATCTGAGTGTGAAGTAAAGGGTTTGCTGAATTTTTTTCCCTCGTTCCCATTAGAATAACAATTGTTTGTTGGAGCTGCAATTCACCAAATGTATCAAATATGTTGCTGATCGAAATTGAATTACTCCACTGACAACAATGTAGAATTTTTCCTGTTATGTTATCGAGGCTTTTTCATTTAAATTATTCTTGAAATATAATTGATATTGTTTGTTGCTAAATTCTTAGTAGTCATATAAATTGTAGGTATATATCTGACACTGGAAACAAAACACAAACTACCGGTAACTGCACTTGTAAATTAAAGTAGTGATTTGAATTTTTCATCATTTAAATTTTTGAACAGAACTGAAGGAGGGGATTTGTTATCTTTAATCTACATTAATATTTGAACAATGAAGAATGAAATCGATACCAGGCTCAATTGTAAACAAGAAAATATTTTGAAAAAAAATATGCCACATCATCTAGTTAATAAATATAATGGTTATATAATTGATGTTGAATTAATCCTGTTGGGATGCAATATTTTGTTTAAAGTGGCTAGTTTACTTATACCTCTACTACAGAAGTGCTGAATCACCCCACTACATTTGATAAAATAATAAATTGCTAAACTAATACCAACTAAAATATACTTTGTATCTAGGACGATTATGATTGACAAATTAATAAACCTTCACCACTGAGATTTATCATTATTCATTTGTCCATTTCTGTAATTGTATATACCATCTATCATACCAACATATTAGTTGTGTATTTAGTTTGGTACCCAAGATACTGGTATCAAAAAGATCTGCTTGTTATGATGACAGTTATCTGCTTCTAAGGGACCAGTTAGGGGGTATATTTAAGTATTGCTTTGATAAAATAGACACATTTGATCAGCAAATAGAATAAAATTGCGAAAAAGCCTTTTAAGTGAAAGTAAATATTTATTCATTTTATACGGAAATGAATAAATCGAATAAAATGTTTTTTTTTTTTTTTGTTATCTTGGACTAACTAAATAGCTGATAACAAATTTTTGGATAAAATACCCCGTGTCTATACCTCTTAACAGTAAAATCTTGTATTTATGAAATTACAAAATCATTTTCAAATTTAAAATTTTATCTACTGTGTATTGAAAAGTTTTAATTGTAACTACTACGCTTAGTGACTCACAGCTTTCATGACAACTGTTGCAAGTTTGTTTCTCTGATTTTAAATGTCGCCAAATTTTCCACTTGCAGATGCCGATTAAACAGTTTATAGTAACACGCGCCCTTGTTAATAAATTGCTACTCTATAACGCATTTAAAAGAATTGTACACTGTGGGTGGTTTAAAGTTCATGTTTTCTGAATTTGTACTTGTAATATATATGTTTTTGAAAATCTGTCTGTTTTTAGAATTGATAAATACGGGGGCTTTTGAAAGGACCGCCTGGATATGTTTACTGAATGATAAATCAAATATTCGGTTTAAACTGTTAAAATAAATTTCGCATGACTGTACCGTTGATTTTGCTTTAATGTCATAATAGACCTATCTTAATATCATAATTGATATTTGAGTTTTATAATGATTACTTTCAAGTATATTGATAGCAATATTTACGTATTTACACCTTGCCGTCAAATAAATCACAGAGTCGAG